GCAAGTTACCATAAAACTGATAAACGTACTGAACACGATGAATTTATACGTTCCAAGCCATTCCGCGCGATCCCCGAAAAATTATGGTTTGACTAATCCATTTAGTAGAAGTATTATTCATACGAGACGCAGATTCAGTGGGCTCCCTTCTGTTTCTGCAGAAACTGGTCGCTTACTATTATAATAGTGACTGAATTTCTTGCGCTGCTTCTGAGCACTGGCTGGCTGGTCCCGAAGCAGTGGTAGGGTTGGGTTGTGTAAAAGTGCTCTTTAGGAGCCTCCATAGAATATAAACGATATGACTTAATACTTTGCAAGTACTTAGAATATTTTGCGGCATTTTAAACCTTAACACATTTTATAGGAGAGCGCCTTTTTGGTTTATTTTAATAATTTAATATCTAGATCATTCACTCTCTCTCGGTTCTCAGTCCAATCCCCAAATGGGTAGTGACGGGCATTACTTTGAGCTAGAAGTAGTTGCCTACTATAAATAAATAAAAAATCCATCTATCCTAGACTGCATCCCAGTTAACATTTCGACCATAATTTTCGTTTCTACCACCTAATTCCCACAAAATAAATTTGTGCTTGAATCCTTTACAAAACGCATCTGAATAATAATAATCAATTGACCGAATGTTAAGTAAGCGAGCCCACTGCCCTAACCTAAGTTATAGTTTTATGAAAGTATTAATATTGACGATTTCAGTTTATTGAAACTAGCGATAAAACCCGCGGGAATGTAAACTCTGGATATTTTTTGTATTTGCCCAGGTCTCATATTGATTGCTATGATTTTAAATAAACAAGGCTTTAACGAGAAATACTCGAACGTGTAAAGAGTTTGGGTTTAAAATATAAACAGTAAAACATGTAAACTGTTTAATAAATCGTTTTCAGTGAATAGTTCAAGCGTGGTTAAAGTGCTTTTAAACAGTATGGCTTTTGGTAAATTTACTCGATTTTAAGTATTTGATTTAATAAGTCTCTCATTGTAACAAGTTTCTACGCAATATTCTGAATGTTAAATAACTATTTGTCAAGTGACTAAATTGTTCAAAGATGTGTTTGAAATGTGTACACTAATTAACGCTAGACTCGAAGCTAATTACTTAACTTTAAAGAGAAACATTTTCGCATCTAACAAATGTGACGGAGACTTTAATTTGCACTAAGAATTTTGATTGTATCAAAGCGAGCGCCAATCCGACAGAATACCAAAGTCTTTTGTCTTAAAAACCATAAAATCCAAAGATTCCGGACTTAAAATCGTAACGCGTCCAAAGTTTATAAACCGGCGTCGATACCCGATAATATAGCCGCGTAATCTCCCTCGGAAAAACATAAAAAACCCGGGCCGTAAATATGTAAATGTCGCTCATAAAATAACCGGAAAACAAAATACCGTAAAAGCGAAACTTGGGTAGCGCACAAAAAACCGCACACCTTTTTTTACCGGATCCAACGATCAGGGAACCGAGTTTTAGAAAATCCGGCCACATATTAGTTGCTGGCTGGAAACACTTTTTCTTTTGCCGAATTTCCATATTTAAATAGGTGAAAATAATTGGTTTCAAAAAGAAACAAGCTTAGCTTACGTCACCTAGTTTGAATTTCAAGATAAGAATTTTAGGGATTCTGTTCACAACATCAACTGTTTACTTACTTTGTAGCTCCTAAAGTTCACAGACTTGATACCTCTTGTGACATTGTAATTTTATTGACCTTAGGTGTACATATTGAAAAAAGTTATTTGCCAAAACTATGAATTCTGTTTCTAAAATGCGATTAAATTCGTTCCATTTAATTTGCTTTCCAAATAAAATACACCCATTGAATTCATATCTTTGAAGTAAAACTAGAATCTTCCAGTGAAATAAGAGAGTTGAAGCCAAATTAGTTGTTTTCTAATAAAATTTTCGTCCATGAAGCGCTTTTCCATGCACCACTAATCCGGGCAATCCGGAACGTCAGCCATATATCGTTGACCCACCTTGCTCATGCCAATCTCTACACGTATTACGTAGATTCAAACTGGTCGCTTTTCAATTTCTATCAAAGCCCATCTCATCACAAAATGGTTTGAGAAATGCAAAGGCTGAAACTAATCGGCTGACAAATCGGGCCTTTATGGGTTAACGTGCCTTTCGTTAACCACTTAATACATTCTTAAAATAAAAAGCCTGCAATAGCCTATTCAAACTAGAAAACAGTATTCAAACAGATTTTTTAAAATATGTCCCACCTGGATATTGAACCTAACACTCAAGGTTAGGTTAAAATAATCGACCTCTTTAACCATTCTGAACCATTCAAACAATCACTTGTTTGTAAAGCCGTCGAAATACTCGCAGGCCTATAATTGACAATTATTCTAAGAATTATTTCGAAGCCTTCCCGATTGACTTCCAGCGAAGATGCTCCAAAATTAAATCGATCTAATTAAATTTTATGGTATCTTTGATAATAATGTATTTATTGTGCTATAATTAGGAAGTAATTAGGCAAATCCCGGTTGAAGTGCCTCGTTTTACTATGAAAATAATAAAATCAGTCACAATCGTAGTACGTAATACGTTACTTTCTACTTGCTTGCCTCTATGCACTTAACTCTCTTGAAAACTTAGCGGAAACATCGACCCGGGCGAAAAATAGAAAGATTAATCATCAATTTCACACAGCAGTGGAAATCTAAATTATGGTCACTTCTAGTAACCCGTAAAGAAGTTTGCAAAAAGAAGAGGTCTGAAAAACCAAAACTAAAGTTACAGAGATTTGCAATTAAAATGTCTGTTTAGTAAAATGTCGTTTTATAGATCAACCCTAAAATTATGTTTTTCAAATATCTTAGATACTTACGTTTTCTAGGGATAATGCTGAGAGCGAAAAAACATTTTTTTTACGAAAACCATCATTACCTGTAACAAAAGAAAATAGAGTCATCCATTTCTCTACTACTAAACAACTTATTACCTAGTTGCTAGCTTAATTAGGTCCGATCATATTTTTATTTCGGAAAAATAAACGGTTCCCGAGAGAAATCGCAATAAGGTACTTCTATAACAATTCGAGTTCAATACATTGAGTTATAATGTACTACGTACTAGAGAAGACATGTCAACTAGACTGTTTCTGGCACGTAAATAGGTCCACGGACCGAAATCCAATTAGTATGTGCTCAGCGGTTGCTGTGACAACACGCTTGAGTGCAGTTTTGTTTTTTGAAATATGCCATCCTATAGACGAAAATACTTTTCAAATAACTCCAGATACATATTAAGTAAAAATAAAGGAATGACTTTTTACCATTAAGTTGTACATTTATGCACTTTAAAACACTAATTTAATTTTAATTTGTTAATTACAAGGCGTCACCGCGGCGGCAGCCATTTTACGAAAATTTCAAAGAATAAAAATCGCAGACTTGACACTGACGCATAAATTAGTATACGAAAGGAAGGTTAAATACAGCAATAAAAAGATTTTTTTAAAGATTATAAGCACTTTGTATTGCACAAATTACTAATAGTCCCGTCCAGCCCCTTGTGTTAAGCTAAATAAGCTTGGGAAATAAATGTAGATGTTTACGGACATACATAACGTTATCAAATATATATTGCGAAGCCACAGTCAATATATTGATTTCTTTAAAAACTTCTCTAAGCGAGTCACGTGGTTTAAGACCGTATATTGCCCGAACAGTTCTTTTCTGTAAAATGAAAATTGATTCTATGTCTGCTGCTGAGCCCCACAGTAAAAGACCATAAGACATAATACTATGAAAATAACTAAAATATACAAGCCTTGCTGTTTCAACATCAGTCAAGTTTCTGATCTTTCTCACCGCAAAGGCAGTTGAACTAAGTCTTCCCGCCAAGGCAGCAATATGGGGGCCCCATTGTAATTTACAGTCTAGGGTAATACCTAGAAAAACAGTAGAGTTTATCAGTCCAATACGTTCATTATAAACATTTTTCTTTTACGAAAACCATAATTACCTGTACCTAACAAAAGAAAATAGAGTCATCTATTTCTCCACTACAAAGCAACTCATTACCTAGTTGGTAGCTTAATTATGTCCGATCATAGTTTTATTTCGGAAAAAAAAACAGTTCCCGAGAAAAATCGCTATAAAGTACTTCTATAACTATTCGAGTTCAATACTGGCTGAAAATAAAGGTTTAGTTGTTTGAAAGAAAAACTACACTAAGAAAAACAAACGACAACAAAGTTTTAAACAAAAGCAATTCGATGCTTAAAAAGTTCGCCCACTGTAATGTATCATCATGGTATGCTATGATATGTTTCTGGTGGCAGAGCGGTGTAATACGCGTTTCTTGATAGAAATACAAACAAAGGTTACCGTGTGGTGTGCAGTTGCCATCAGTAAATAAAAAATCGTGAAATCTGTACTCTCTGGTTCGCCCGTCGTCACACCTATCTTTTTATTGCACATGACAACGTGTAATAGAAGATAGCGAGTTGATTAATTTCTTCAGACTCGGTCCATTACCGCCGGCCGTCAGGTATTGTGGCTCTACCCATCCCGTATTTTACGATTCAGATGGCTAAGTGTCCATTAAAATAATGGATATCACCAGGAAATGGATGCAACTAAACTAAATGTAAGTGATTTACGGAAACATAAATGATGTCCGCATTAATATGTCGACGCCGCCATATGCAGATGTATTAGATACGTAACGGTCACAGGCGCCGGACCGTCTGAAGTTTTAAGATTTCCTTCTGTAAGAAAACTTCGCATTTTTCGTCACTGAAAAAGGATTATGCGTACTTTTTTCAGTAAAAAAGTTTTCAGAGTATTAGGTATTTCGTCGCACACAGAAGCTGCAGTTCTCTCACCTCTCACTATCTGTTAATCGCATTTCGGGATGACGTTCCATTTTCAAAATTCGAATCCGTCGAGCACGCTCGAGTACGCTTTGCGATTGTTCGCCCCTATCGGTTTTCGATCAGTGGGCCTCGAGGCGCGGTGACGTACGCACGTGTCGCGCCGCCACGCCGCGCTTTGTTTACGGACACCACGTGTTGTGTGCTCGTACTAAACTAAATTCACGGTACGTAGATTCACTTTGAACGTTATTTAAAAACTAATATTAAGTGTGAATATTTTTAGAAGTAATTTGTGGGTTGTTTTTGACTTTTAATGATGGTTTTGAAGTGTTTGTAAAAGTGGTTTGAGTGATGGAGGTGGTGGGTAGACCTGTTCATGCCAGGACTGGACTGGCGTTTGTTCTGATGCTGCTGACCGTGGCGGAAGTGCCAGGATATGTGGACACGGAGGAGTTTATCAGCGATCTCGACAAACCAGGTAAGTTTAATTAATAAAGCTAATTTTAAAATTTATGAAAATTTTCAGGAAAAATTACTGAAATATGAATAATAAAAGGAGCCACGTAGGTGCGTACCTAAATAAATTAGTGCAGTTAAGCAGCTTAAAAGTGATGAGCTTTGCTAAAAATGTTTTAATGTTTAATTTGGTGCGGATTTGGTAGCCTTAGGCGTAAATTACATTTTTTAGGGATTCTAAATTTGTTATTTTAGTGCCTATTAAAAATAGGGACGCAAAATTAAGTGTTCAGTTTTCATCCACTTAAAATTTAATGAACTTAGTAATTTTACATTAGTTTAACTTTTTTGTGTAGGTATATAAAGAAATTCTAATAAATCACTAGGAAAGTTGACGTACTAACATAAAAACACACTTACTACAGGCAAATAATTTTAAAACATACATAAGTTATCACTAATTTCCATGAAATATGAAGCAAATAGACATAGGAAGCCTTAAGGAGTTTTGCTCTATTTCTTTCAAATCTATGTAGATTTCGAAGTTTTAAAATGTAGTTTGAAACTTCGAAAAATTTATTGGTGCAAAACAAATACACTGAGTAAAGGCAGTAATAATATTTAAGCTTGGTACATTTTTATTAGCTGCCAGAGGAATATAAAATAAATATCATTGCTTTAAAATATTAGCTGAACTTGCTTCAAATATCAACATTTTCAAGTCTTAAACAACGGCAGCGCTGCAGCGCCGCGAAATGCGCGGAATAAAAACACGTTGAATTTATTATCTCCCGCCCCCACAAAATAACAAAGTGAAAAGCGATGCCATCGGATTCTAGCTGGTTTTTTCATGGCCCCTGCCCGTGAAATTCCTAGCCTATTTCACATGCGGCGCGTTCTTACGCTTAAAACTATTCAGAGCTTTTTCGGGAACGTATCTAGAATTAATTATTTACACTTTCATCCTCCCTTTATGTGAAATTATTTATTCTCTTACCCATGTGCTTTGAATACATAATAAGGCGGCGTTAATTAGTGTTTCGTACATAACTTGATTACCTGGGTGTTTACAAGGCTACCTTATTTTTCGTGAACTCATTACGCATGCCCAAGACGGGTTATGACTAATTGGTAGGGCCTTTAGGAGGGAAGGATCCCACTACTGGCTGAAATGTTGGAAGTTTTTCCTGTAGCTGCCTGGATAATATATAATAACTGCCTGAATTGTGGTCGTGGCACCCTTTGACTACTAGCGCGTGATAGGTCCTTTCGTATTAAATCCACGTGAGCAAATAAAATTAAGGACCTAGGTATTTATACATACCTTTTCGAGGGCTCACCGTTGTGGTAGAGTAAACTATGTAACTATTGCCTTTGAAATTAAATTTAAATATCTGGAACGAAAGTAATTTTGTTGAACAAGTTCTAAACCTCCACTCCAGAACCTTGATGCCCAATCGGTCGTCAGTTCTGCGTACCATGTGCTCTGCCCATTGCCACTTCAGCTTGATAATCCGTCGGGCTATGTCAACGACTTTAGTTCGTTTACGGATCTCCTCATTTCTGATTCGATCTCGTAAAGAAACACCGAGCATAGCCGCGTACCGGAAAACGCAGTGTGGGACGTCCATCCACAAGNCCCACAAGGTGGAGCGACGACATCATAAAGGTAGCAGGGAGACGCTGGACACAGGCCGCTACCAACCGGGCAGCATGGAAAGCATTGTGGGAGGCCTATGTTCAGCAGTGGACGTCCTATGGCTGAGATGATGATGATTATGATGATGAAGTTCTAAACAGATATATTTTATCGCGATCAATTAGTTTAAAAGAACTTAGATAGTTTTTGCCTTATCATACAAGGATCTTGCAAACGTTGTAAGTTATAAAATGATTGACAAAATTTTAATGAAGTTACCTACCTGTAAACATAAACTCTGATGACATTTCTTTGTCATTGTGTGTGTGGCAGAGGTTGAAAATACCTACATGAAATATTTTACCTCGTACTTTCAGATTGCCTGAATGTCTTATTGACATCTTATTAGGTCTATCCAGCAGTTAATATTTGTTTTAAGTACAGCATGGGACGAGCTTTACGCTGAGCATGGTGTGTCAAAATATTTCCATACAAAGCTATTGTTTAAAAGTTTCAGATGCCAGCGTGAAGTTTATGGCGAATGAGTAAGCTACCTTACGCCTACGAGGGTGACCTTAACCCTTTATGATAGCAAGCTCAAATAGTTCATTGTTTTTGGACCCTAAGACAACGGGATAAGGTTAAAAATAAGCTTGGAGCTATATTCCTGTCTTATTACGGGATAAAAGTATTTGAACAGAACTTTGGCACCAAACATGCGAATGGTGCTAGTAAAGTAGCCGAAACATAAAAGTAAGAGTAAAAAACACGTTCGGTTTCTTTGAGCGAGTGTCAGGAAAATAGCCAAGGTTTTTAACGGGCTGACCCTTTGTAAGGAACCCAATTTTAACGACGTGCTAGGTAGGGACTATAATGAAAGTTTACTCGGTGAACTCGCTTTGGTTGTCTGTGATTTTAACGTAGAGTCATGTTAAATAACATTCCAATCGGTAGGGAAATTGCAATATTACAAAATACTGTTTATTTAAAGAAACTTAAGTCGAAATATGATTTTTTAAGTATGTTTAAGGATCCATTCTTTTACAAGCTTTAATCTTTTTCGAAAAATCATAAATCCTACTTACCAAATTTAGATTTAATCTTTACTAATTTGGAAAGAACATAACGCGTCCGTTGTCTAAGAGTAGGCGCACACCGTTGATTTTTCGCCGGCCGATAGTTTAGTCGGGCAGTTGATCAATATGAGCATGTATGGGAGTGCGCACACTACGCCGATTCGATTTGGCCGATTCTTCATACAATTTAAAATCGGGCACAACTATCGGCCAACTAAAAATCAACGGTGTGCGCCTACTCTAATTGTTAGTGGTCGTCAATAATCTGGAGGTGATAGGTTCGATCACCAAGAGGAAAGCGAATATTGGGTACTCGTAGTCGTACTCGGGTGATTTTTGTATTGGTTTTGACAGATGTTTGACGTTTGTTAATGTTAAAATAAGATGGTGAAACTCAGCCTCAAATGTATGATTTACTTATTTTGAAGTTTAATTCTAAACGCACTGGCGCTTATTTATGTTGTGGCATTACATAGTATTCACACCAGTCTTCCTTTCACAAGTGAGATATTGCTGGCCTAAGTGACACGTGTCAAGAGAGACACGCTTTTAGGTCTACCTACTTAGCCTTATACAAACGAGCAAAGCTTAGGTCACACTAATGAAGAGTGGACTTCATTCTCTCATATGTTAGGCGGGCGATGTAAAGACCATTATTTTTTGTTGAAGTCTACCCTATTACAATACAAGTACCTCGATAATAGGACAGTGTTTAGCTTGATTTATCGTTGTCTGTACATACAATACAGTCTTGGTGTCAGATTTAATCAAAGTCAAAGCTTTTATTCAGTACTTAGGCCCTTCTAGGGCGCTTATACTTTTATAATGAGTTTCCGTAAGCATCTACATCTAAAGCTTAGTTTTGTTCTTGGAACGGAATCTGTGTTAAATATCTTCAATATTTCAGGGCAGGGAAGTTAATGATGAAGAAATTCATCTGAAATATCTTTGAAAAATACTATTTTATGAATAACATCACAGGAGACTTTTTTATCTATTTAGATGTTGGAGTAATATTTTTTTATGAAATAACATCGCAGGACCATTTTATACGATCTATTTAAATGTTGGAGTCAAGTGGTGTAACCTAAGCCTTTAGAATTTGTTCGTTTGAAATTCCTTCAGCAAAAAGAGAACCGTTTTTTGCTCATCTACTAGTATATATTATATTTAAACACTCGCCATATTTCATGTCTTATACACGATATCCACTTACCAAAGTCGCTGTCAAAAGAAGGTTTTGCTGCCTTCATTTTAGTCTGGTATGTAATTGTATACCAGTAGTTATACAGAAGATAGAGTTTCGCATGAGTCTACGTTTCCACAAGAGCTAGTACTGAGCAATGCGACTTGGTTAAAAACAACGTTTGCGTTGTGGATTGATTGATTAATATGCATCCAGGATCTAGTTTGGCTTTTTAGATAAATAAAGATATTACAACAGACGCAGGCTGCTACTAACCGGGCAACATGGAAAGCATTGGGGGAGACCTATGTACAGCAGTGGACATACTATGGCTGAGATGATGATGATGAAAGATATTACAAGTAACAAGTCAGTTTACTAGGTACAAATCCACACAGCTATGGAGGAGAGTGACACCATATCTCAGTTCCGCTTCGCCTCCTCGCACAGCTCAGGTACCTCTCCTGGCACACTCTAATGAAAACGCGGTCACAGTTCCCTTTGATGTAACTAAAGTAAGTGACATAACGCTGACGGACGAAGCGCTATAAACGTTTCATACGTGAATTTACATGCAGAATCCCGCCATATTTCTCGGCAACAACAAAAAAGCCGTAAACGCTACCTTTACGGCGTATTTGAGGGCTTCCCAGCGTTCTGCACTTCATGTTTATTGTCTTCAATTATTCCCCTGGCATAGGATTGCTTACATTTCGAGTGGAGGTTTTTNGGTTTGTTACCGGAGAAGATCCACGTTTTATTTATGATATTGATCAATAGAATAAAGAGTAGGTGTTCGAAAAAGATGTATACTGTAGGGTTGTTAACCCTTAACAAAAGTAAAACCTCATTCATGTTTTTAATAAACAATATTTCCAGCTTTGTACCGACAAAATAGTTTATTGTATGGAATCTTTTGAAAGTTCTTTGCTTCAATGCAAAGCAAATTGATATTTAATAACATTTCAAGACCAACCTATTCTCAATAGAATATTACTCGTATATTGGATTTCTAAGTAATAACAGTTGTGTTCGGAAAATAAATCATTGTGTTGGTTTCATGCGAACACGAGTACGGCCATGATTCATGCAGCAGTGGGGTTCGAGTATTAACCGGCTTA